ATGCACTAGGGGTTTGAAGGCTTGAGGCAATAGACACAAATGTGTCTAGTGTTGTCGCCTCAACCGTTCCTTTTGAAAGATGGTTCCAGTCCCTGATTGTCTTGGGCAGGAATGAGCAGCTCCTATACTGACTTCTTGCTGGTATGAGCCTGAATTGCCTGTCATGGCCTCGTCGCTGTCTATGGGGGAGAGGGACGAGTTTCTGTTTAATACTGGAACAGTGGACCAGCCCATTATTTATCTTGTACATCATGGAGAGCCTGGATTGTCGTCGTCGTTTCTCCAATGGTGACCAGCCTAGTGTTTCTAGCATGCTGCAAACACTAGAGGTATTCCTGTAGCGGTTTAGGACAAAGCGTGCTGCTCGTCGCTGAACCGCCTCCAACCTGTCAATGCTCTTCTTGGTAAATGGGTCCCAGACTGAAGATGCATAATCTAAAATCGGACGGATAAATGCTTTATATGCTATTTCTTTCACACAGGAGTTGCCAATCTTTAGATTTAGCCTTAAGAACCCCAAGGCTTGGTTTGCTTGGTTACATACACTGTTAATATGCTCGTCCCAGCGGACCTCTATTTGAATGGTAACACCCAGGTACTTTACGGAGGAAACTTGCTCAAGAATATGGCCGTGCAGTTTGTATTGGTAGTGTAGAGGAGTACAACTTCTAGAGATTGATAGTGTCTGGCATTTGGCAGGGTGAAATTCCATGTCCCAGCTCATCTCCCACTCAGCTAACAGATTGAGATCCTGTTGTAGCTGGTCCTGGTCAGATCTGTTGGCGATCGTCCTATACACTGCTGTGTCATCTGCGAACAGTCTTGCCTGTGATGTCAGTTTCTCCGGTAGGTCATTAATGTATGCTAGGAACAAACAGGGGCCCAGGACTGATCCCTGGGGGACCCCTGACTTTGGAGGAGCTTGTACCGCCCACCACTACTGCTTGGCGTCGGTGGCTGAGGAAGCTAGAGATCCATGTTTTAGTGGTGCCTTGAATCCCATATATCTGGAGTTTGTGTAGAAGCAAACTATGATTCACCCGGTCAAATGCTTTTGCGAAGTCCATTACTAGCACGTCAGTCTGCTTGTGGTTCTCCAGATTGGTCATCAAGTCTTCTACAAATTCGAGAAGCTGGGACAAGGCTTCTACACCGGCCCGGAACAAGGCTTCTACACCGGCCCGGGACAAGGCTTCTACACCGGCACAGAACAAGGCTTCTACACCGGGACGGGACAAGGCTTCTACACCGGGACGGGACAAGGCTTTTACACCGGACGGGAAAAGGCTTCTACACCGGCCCGTGACAAGGCTTCTAAACCGGAAAAATCGTGGTGAAACCAGGATGTCGGTTCGCCTACCTACCTAAAACATATTTGTAACAAAGCTCTCCGAACACGTCAATATTATCAAAACGATTCACAAACTGGTGTGTTGCCGTGACAAGAACATGGACGCCTGGGTTTTACAACGGGACAGAAGTTTGATCTAATTTAATCAAATCATTTGTATTTTTTAATATTTTTTTTATAATTTATATTTAGCGATTTGGTCGATTTCTGGGAAATAATTTTTTCTTTTAAAAATGCTGACGTAATTACAAACGACTTTTCAATGACTTAAGTTCAACCAGTGACAGACAGTTGTAATAAGCAGCGGTTCTAAAACCAGCTCAACGAGTCTTCATCTGTGAACAAGTGTGAGATGACGTCCTTTCCGGGTGAGGTCAGCTCAGATCGCCAGGATAAAGACACCTTTTATAATACGGCTCTAACTTTGTTGACCAAATAATGTGCAAACATGGCTTTAATGAATCCACCCACTGTCCACTAGTTGACTCCACCACTGTCCACTTGTTGACTCCACCACTGTCCACTTGTTGACTCCACCACTGTCCACTGGTTGACTCCACCACTATCCACTTGTTGACTCCAACACTGTCCATTTGTTGACTCCACCACTGTTCACTTATCTTCACTGAAGTTGTTAAGGTAGAGCACTTACTATTTAGAATAATCTTCATTTTTATTTTTACTTTAAGAGACTTTTAACTTTATGAATCCCAAAGATTT